TCCCAAAAGTTCAAAGTGGCAGACTTTGTTATGGACAAGGGTTACCTAGGTCTACTAGGAAACGATACAGTTTGTAGGGTTGTGGCGTCGTCTAAGAGGCGAGCAGTCTTTGAATTGGCACATGCGGGACTGTTGGCCGGCAGCCCAAAAAAGCTGGTTAAGAAGCTGTCGAAACGTGTGTTCTGGGAGACCATGAAGCGAGACGTAACTCAATGGTCTCAGGAATGTCGAAAATGTCTCTGTCACAACCATCGGCATCCGATGATGCCTGCGCTGAAACCAATAGTAACTTCTAAGCCATACAAACTGGTAGTAATAGATATGATGTTGGGACTGACGACTGACGGAAATCGCTGCATACTCAGCGTGGTGGATCACTTTTCAAAGTTTGCAGGTGCATGGACTATCTCCTCGAAAAGTGCATTGGTGGTAGCCAGGTTATTCTTTGAAAGGTGGATTGCTGAGGGAAGCCGCCAGCCAAAATGCATCCTATCTGATCAGGGAGGCGAGTTCGATAACCGACTAATGCAAGAGCTCAGAACGTGATGGGCGTAGATCATGTTTTCACGAAGGGATATAATCCCAGAGAGAATGTTCTGACTGAAAGGTTCAATCAAACGCTCATTTAGATGCTCAGGGAAAAGGTCCTTGCACCCACTGAGTAGGATAAAATGCTCCCGTATGCGTGTTGGCGTACAACACGATAGCTTATTAGACAACGGGAGGGTCCCCTTTTTACTTGCTGCACGGATTTGATCCTAACATTCCGTGGAACGCAGTGCCGCGTGATGAACCTAGCAAGTATGTCGTGGATCTAGAGAACAGCGCGCAGGAAGTAACAGCAGCGAAACTATTAGGTTGTTCGAAAATCCAGCGACACTTTGATTGAATTGTTCTAGAAAAAGACCAAAAATCATTTTGGATGTTTTTATCCCCGATTAGTGAGACTGTCCTCTGGAGTTTCTGCACAAGGGTATATCATGACGTTGAGGAAGTTTTCAAAGCTTAAAAGTCCCCCAGAGATCGAGGTACTTGTCGACCTGTCCCATGTTATGAGTTCCTGTAGGGCCACTTCGCCGTAGTCAAGGAAGCTGACAACTACGTTGTCTTGAGGAAGGATATCGCTTGCCATGGCAGAGGGTAGCTTTTGCATCGGCGCTTTTAAGCTGGACTTGATTTAACTCGCAGTTGGGCAATGTATTAGGCCGCCCATCAGCACAGAATGACGGCCCTTTACTCAAGCTTCTTAAGGCGCAGCTGAACGTAACTACCGATAAGTTGGCGACCTCTAGGTTCCATCTAACTGACATCTGCCATGCTTCTCCGCAATCTCGGTTATCGGAGAAAATTTTTGTGACGGATGCCTCATGAGTTGGACCCGTCTGACAAGTCATACCGAATGACCGTGACTGAGTTTTCTTTTCCTTGTACACAGCGTAGGGACTTTTATGAGATCTTGTGGTTGGTAGCGAGTGGTGGAGTCCTTGCGTACATCATGCACATGTCCCTCGCAGGATCTCTCAAGCAGAAAAGTAGACTTCTTAGCCAAAAGCAGATGTGCATGGGATAAAGATTTCAGTGTGTTATTGGTGGGACTTCCAAGCGGTATCACTGGATGCTAGCAGCGTTTTAAGGACCACAGTCCACCTCAATCGACTTCAAAATATGGATGACGTCACGCTTGAATTCATTCAGAAATACTCAATTTTTCTCTACTACTCGGTAATGCGAGGACCGCTGTGGGGATCGGGCTACGCCAAAAGATCATGCATTTAGGTCAGAGAATGCGACCGTACTTAGGTTATTTAACAAAGTTAGCACCCTCTAATTACCACCTCCTTTGGTCACTATCGCATTCTTCACAAAGCAAAAGTTCCGAAAATCAACCTCAACTTGAGAATGAGGTCCACCTCTTCTTTTTACTACAGTTGCCGTAGTTCTATGAGAATGGAAATGAAAAGCTGTGCAAAAAAAAGGCACTAGTCCTAGTCATCAACTGCGGTTACCTTGTATATTGGAGATGTCCTTTACTGACCAGAAATTTAGTTCGAAAAATTTGGTCAGAGTGTCGCAGGACTTTTCGAACAACCTAATAGCTTGTGAGTATGCACGCGAGGAGTCTGGTAAGATGCGGCAGAGGATGAAAGTCGCATATGAACGAAACGGACAGGTTTGCTTGAAAACACCGAAGGTCGATGACCGAGTGTACATGAAGGCCCCTAGGGAGAAACTGGCAGTCCGTCACCCAAAGCTCGTGAACCCGTAGGATGAGCCTTATCGCGTATTTGAAACGAGTGAGAACAGCGCCCTCGTAACCTGAATAGAAGGGGTTCGAGAGCCGATTAGGATACCTTTGGCATGCTGGTAAGGTTACCAGCGGGGGTGCAAGATGAACCCCTTAGGACAGCCACAACGCGGAGGAAGAGAGGGCGACTAGAAAAAAGCTGAATCCAGTGACTCTTTTTCCAAAAAAGTGGATTGTTTTAGGACTCTGATACCGATGGATCATCCGTTGAACTTGCGACGGAAATGCAGTTGCGGTCTGTTTGATCAAATGGCATATGTAGCAATCCCGACCCTATGGTTCAGTCAAAGAAGGTTGGAGACATGTTCCAGCTGGCGAACGTGGGATCCATCTCTGAGCAGGAGTGTTAAGGAGACAAACGGAAGGAAGAAGAATTGCGGATGAAGTACTCGCAATATATACGGTCCCATACGCCATACGGTCTGGCCCTTGCCATGCAAGCCCACCGTCGTCGCTGTCATTCTTACTCAGAAGCCATCGATGAGGCCGTGGGAACCACGTTTGAAAATCCAACGCTATTTCCATTTTCAGTGAAACACGACGTCGGAGCCGACCTTACTACTGCGCTGTCGATGTTGAAAAATGTTCGGGTGGCTGTCGCTGAACAGGAGGTTATTTCGCTCTGCCCTCGGCGTTCGGCAGAGTGCACTACGAAGTAGACTACGATGAGAACATTACTGTCTACGTATATGAGAGCTGGGAACTCCTAGCCCAGAAACTGATAGAGACGAAGAGTGTGACGGCCATTATAATAGTGTGGCCAGATACGATGCCTTCATCAAGGTCGATGAGACAGATGGTCTCGTCTTCAGTCGGGCTGCCATTCTTCCCCAGTCCCTACGAGGATAACAACAGGAAAGAGTGGACACGCATGGGAGAAGTATGCGCAGAATTTGTGCGTTTCATTACGAAAGAGGATCGTAACTTTGAGGCCATGGTTCGCCACCACTACAGTGGGTGCTGGAGTCTTCGCCCCACACTCATCTTGTCGCATGCATGAGAACGGATCCCCTTTTTCGTTATGCCCGATCCTGAGCGCAAGCGCCAGACATCGTTTCAGCAGCCTCGTGGTCCTCAGAAGGGAAGGGATAGGAGGGCTAGCCCGCCGGAGAGAAGATGGACAAGAAAGGCTGGGGGAAAATCCCCAAAGGCAGAAGGGAACGACAGAGTCGTGACGAGCCTTTGTTGTGGTGGGGCATGTCATGTTATAGTTATTTTGTTGTAACTTTTGTTGTTACGTGTTGTTTTTATGAAACTTTGCTTGGTGCTCCTGTTCGTCCTATATTCCTATGGACATGAGCCGAATCAATCGATATGCGACTCGGTCAGTCGACGCCTGATTCCCGCCAAGTGTGACGTCATCGCTTTGAACGGACCAATATCCAGCACTTCCGGTTCCGCCCCTTCGAGCCCCCTATGAAAGGCGACTATTGCGATGAAGATTGAGTCTAGGCTAGCGTGAGCTGGAGAGTAGTGTCCTCGGACACTACTGGTCAAATAAACACTTGCATCAGTCATTGTCTCGTTCGCCTTCCAACCCACGCAGGCTGCGTTCAATCCGGAGCAGCACCCGTGACTGCACAAATTAATCCCATATTATCTGTATTATTGTGAAAAGCTGGAGTATCGACCATACTCTGCGCATACATCTCTCAAGGAGGGACGTAGCCCCAGGACGTGGCCCGCGCTGCGAGCCGAGCGCAAACCAGCGCTGGAGCGTTGACTATTGACGAGAGGGAATCGCGGTGCGTTTCCGAGCTTTATCACTTTTTCAGGATAAAGGCTCTCGGAAAACGGAAGGTAACATGTCGGCGTCATCTCTGCTTTGTTCCGTTCTCTACCTACTCACAATCCCGTTATCTTCCCCGTTCATGAAATATTTCGGAAGTTACGGACGTGTTGGGGGTAAATCGCGGGAGGGGGTACGCTCCATACAAAACTAATTTCTTTCAAGCGCAATCTTTTGCAATTTAAAAATACCTTGGTAACGCCCCGTAACTCTTTTTTCCAACGAGCTTCAGAAGACCCGCTAGTCAGAAGATATTTTAGATGGGTCATCCTCGCGCGTGGCTATTAGCCACCCAAATGATCGGCTCGTTCTGTGTAATTGTAAGGATACTCATTCGTGAACTTCAATGTGCTTTCATGATGCATAATCCCACTGACCACAGTCGAAGCATGATTTGGTTATCATCGATCGATTTGGTCCGAGTATGCGCCGTGCATTACGCGTTTACGCAGAGGTGGTAGAAAAGTAACTTCTAATTTTAGGTGATTTTCGTCCATGCAAGCTGATGTTTGTTTGGAGTTTGGAAAGGTCGATACGCACGAATCTGTTTCAGACGTATTGCCTAGTCATCTACGTACTCAGAATCCATGCTAACTATCGATATTATCTGTTGTTTTGATATCTAATAGTTTCCCTTACATTGGAATTCTCTGCTGCTTCCCGTATAGTCCATTAAGCTTAGCAATGACACTTTTGTGCTGTTTAGTGCTCATCGACCCTACGTTTACACCCCCCCCCCTTTTTTTCCAGCCGCCCACGTATCCACACCCCCCCCCCTACTACGGTTTCACATATGCTGTGTGTTCGAAGATTGGTGGCCAGTGGTGCAACAGGAAAGTGCCAAAGTTCATAGCCAGGATTTGGGTTGCGATGTTTTAATTATGGATAGCTGACCGTTATAATGGGATGGCTCAAACCGTCAGCTCAACAGTTATTCTCTGCCTCTGCTTGCTTTCATCAGGACAGATGTGGTTCTTATTCGGCATCGCTGATGTGCCATTGTTCAGGATTGCTGACTTAAAGTGTCGTCTCGGCGCGCCTTACCTATATGTTCATGTTGGAGCATGTGAGCATCTCATCTCCTTCAACAATTTGGCACTTCGGTGGGTTTCATTTTTCTTGTTCCAATACTTTTATTACCATTCTTACGAGGACACAATCTCATTAGGGGTTTAGCTCAAGATATCCATGTATATTGAAGATGTAAAGAGGTGGTGGCCTCACTGACACGCTCCTTAACACATTGACGACAGCGTGATACACATTTAATGAGCGCGTTGTGGGCCACGTGGGACCGCGCGGATTGTATATGAATCACGATCAACAAGTTCATATCTTTCCCTAGTGCATGATTTTTTTTGTTTAGTTTCTCCTATTCATTATATAGGCCAGTCCTTAGTACACTCGTACAACACGTGTTTCATAGAATAATTTTGTACACACCAGTTTAGCAAAGATTTCCTGTGGAAAGAGCATAAACTTGAATTGGTTGGTTTGCTCCTCAACTTTGGACTGGTTTACTGTTTAACTCTTTGCCAACAAATACAGACAATCACAACACTGATAATGATAAAAAAATATAAGGTGAAGGATTCTGAGTCCTATGAAAAGCACGGTTTGCGTTTTTTATGAAAAAATTCGGTTACAGACAAATTCCTGGCCCTGGTGCAAAGATAGTTTGCCAGTCCAGATTATTCCGTAGTAAATAATTGACTTACCTCACAATTGCTCTCTAAACCAGGTTTTTTCGATCCAATCTCCAGAAAAGCGCTTCGTGGGACGGCTTGACTTGTGTGCGTACAGCGTTTCTGGCGTTCAAGAAAGCGCGTGTCCCACGCGGCCAAAACGTAAAAACGCGCGTTGTCGTCCACGTGTTAATCAGCAGCGAACATGACCATATAATTAACAACAGTATTACTCCGCGCGGCCCCTCAATGGTGGGGTTCCTAGATATCGACTCACCTATAAGAATCATATTACACTGCGTTATTACCTTGCGCGCTGATTTAAAATGCAGTACTCACACACCCACAGATTCAGTCTTTGCAGCCCAAATATATCATTAGTAATTTTGAGCAAATTCTCAAGTGTTAATACGTTGTTTGATTCAGAGACAAATGTCACCCACAAGGTCTCTATCCGCTGCCTATTTTCGAGCGCAATTCTCGAAGAATCGCTTGTGCTGGATGCAAGGAGGTGACTTCCGAGTAAGTAATTGTAAAGACCACGTTCGAAGAAAAGTTTTGCGATTCTTTGGGCAAAAGTTTGGGGCGGATCTTTTCCTTTGAACAATTATTTCATTTGATCAAAGGATCTTTGAGCATTGTTATTTCGACTCAGGTCTATCGGTTTTTTTAATTTCGCTTTCCGAAAAAACGGCAACAGCGTGGGAGGATTTGGTTTATTTCTTTTCTTCTTGATATATCATTATCAAGTATACAGGTACAAGGACAGCAACCCGGACCACGCAAGATGTGTGTATTATTAGGTCCCGCACGTTTTTTAGAAGCTGCGTCGCGTCTAGAATGCTGTAATGCGGGCAGCTCACTCTCGGCTCGCTCCGGGCATTTTAGGATCATTCTCAGGAGTACGGTAATATGTTGCTATTGAACTGCATACTTGTACTTTGAGATTTATAAAGATATGCGCTTCACCTTGCTCATACTGGTGCACTGCAGAACACAAGAATTACATATTATTCATGTCAGTGAGCAACTAATATAATGATTGCACATTACAACCAATGAATTGAAACTGAGTTAATGGACTATGTTGCAAAAACTAATAAATGAGAATTATTGAGAGGGGTCAAAAGCAAAGAGACAGCTCAGCTTCCGTTTCGCACGTGCCCTTAGACGGAAGCCGAACAAAAGCATCTTCCTCCTTCCGTGCTCCTCAGTAAGGAAAGGAAGAAAATCAGTTGCAGCAAGTTTATAAGGAATAAAGCTGAAAACGATAAAGGCTGAGAAGTTTAAGAATGCTAATTTATTGGTCAACTTGAGTAGGACATCGTAATCACGAAAACAGACTCTCACTTGATGTTAAATTATGACTATCCGAAATTATTACACGACACATGCAGGTGAAAAAATTGGGTTACATAGACACCAGTTAAACGAGAAAGCCACTGAGAATACCTCGGACTAATCTTATGCTACCATAATCATTCGTAACAGAGTATTTGTAACATATAAGTTAAAACATACATAAAGCACGCAGCATGGTCCAGCCGAGTAGAAAGTGTGAGGTGAAGGTTGCACTGGTCCACGGATGCAATGAAGGAACATTGGCTGCTTTACGTGATGATAGCTGCTTTACGTGATGACATGACGACGACTGAATAAAAGGTCACATTATTGGTTGGGGATTTTACTCGAGTCCGTACGACCACCCCCGCCTTTTTTTTGGGGGAGGGGCTGGTACGACCCCCCCCCTCCGCACCCTCTGTCCCTCCTCATGGAATCGAGCTGTCGAGCTTGGGGTATACGCTACGCATCAAACAGGAAACTTAGGAAAATCACGAAAAGTCAACCATCACTCCTGAAGGGCCAAAAATTAAATACGACCCCCCTCAACAGTGAGCAAGTACGACCCTTCCCCCCTCCCCTCTTCACAACGTCCGTGAAGGGGAAAAATCAACTATCGAAATAAAATTTCCTCAGTCCAAATGCGACCTCCCCTCTCTTGGCGGCCAAATACGACCCCCCCCCCGTTGGGGATTCCCCGATGTGCCCTGCTGAATCTGCCGAATAACAGGCGGGCTTGCGGGATGAGAGAAAAAAAACAGCGTTGGTTCAAAACTACCAGTATCCTGCGCTCCTTGAACGCTTCTGTTCAGGATAGCATGACGATTGGAGCATCGTTGCCTTAGGTAGCGTTCAGACTTCGCGACGGCAGCGTTTCGGTCGGTCGCGCGTTCGACGCGATCGGTGCAGTTGAAAACATGCGCATCGATCGCGGCAACCTCGGCGACCTCGACGATCGCTGCGATGCCGGTACATGGCAGAGCGCGCTAATATTTGTGCTCCGAAGGCTTTTAGGAAGAAGCGACTCAATTTCTTGCTTTTTTTCCTTTAACTGCAATTTTCTCAAGTTTTAAAGCTTGGCTTGACACAAAGAAAGGTGAACCCATCTTAATGGAATTTGTTTTCTGTTTTCTTCCTTGATTCCGGATAGAAATGAGCAGAAAGCGTGAGAGCTTCATTTAGGGTAGGCTTTTATAGTTTCTTTTTGTCATTCATCGAGTATACATGAGCTTATAACGTTTTCACCTGTTGATATTGCGTGAAATGATTAGTGTTTAGGTTCCAAGGTGAGTTTCTTTCTGTTTGTTTTTTTTCTTTTTTGTTTGAACTCGACTTGTGAACTATAAATGTTTTGGAAGTTGGAATAGTGCAGACGATAGGAATTTCAAGGCGCTTTAAATTGAAACAATAAAAACAAATGAAACAAAAAGAAGCTCACCCAGGAAATGGAGTTGGCCTCATCCCGATCTAAAAAGAAGTGAAACCTCCTTACCCCATATACCAGATCCGCTTATGTATAGATAGTCATAAGTTATCAGTTAGTAGCCATTATCAAGAGAAAAGAAGGTTTCACCACTGTGATTTCCTTATTTATCAAGCGAGCAGTCCACAATAGCATTGGGGCGCGCTCTGCCACGTACGACGATCGCGGCGATCGCCGCTGCTGTCGTGAAGTATGAACGCTGCCTTAGGGAGCGTTCAGACTTGTCGCGCTTCAATTGTCGTTGTCACTTGTAACTGAACACGCTACAATTACAAGCGCGCTCCAATTGTACCAGACCCCAGCATCCCTTTATATTCTTCCTTCCTTTATTCAACTCCTTTTTCATTGTTTCTCATTTCTACCTGTTTCTTAGCTCCTCTTTTTCACTTCGACATTGAATTTTAATGTAGTTTTTGATAGAGAACACTGTGATAATGGCTTTGTATACGGTTTCAAAAAAAACTCGTCGTCTTAAATTTAAAAGACTCAGAACGTCGTCAAAAACTTCGAAAACTACATCAAAATTCAATGTCAAAGTGAAAAAGAGGAGCTAAGAATCAGGTAGAAATGAGAAACAGTGAAAAAGGGGTTGAATACCGGAAGAAAGAACATAAAGGGAAGCTGGGGTCTTTAGCGCGCTTGTAACTGGAGCGCGCTTGTAATTGTAGCGTGTCATTTACAAGCGACAGCGACAAATGTAGCGCGACAATCAACGCGCATTCAAGCGCGACAAATCTGAACGCTGCCTTACGCCGCATCCCATAAACATTTCCGACTTCCGAAGTCGTTACAGGTTCCATCAGGTTCCGAGAATTTCATATCGATTGAGATCATGCTACCTTCACAAAACTCGTATTCTCCAATGAGTAGCTCCGTACAACGAAAAAGCGATCCACACAAGCTCGCGTTGTTAGTCTGGCGCGATTCCTGTAGTATTCAGTGCAGAACTGTTTCTCATAACCGGGATTATGGAAAAGCTTCGTAGCTTCTAAGTAGGCGCAGCGTCAAAACTTTTTCGATGACCCAGATCCGAAGAAACTTGGTAGCCGTTAGGGCAGTCAATCCACTCTGGGATCGTTGCACTCCGTGCTCCACTGCGCCCTCGGCTGCTGAGTAAAGGGCCATCACCTTCTTCTGACGATCATCCGAAAGGGTTGCTCTTCCGAGAAGAAATGTCACAAGCTGTTAAGCATCGATATTAGCTGGACACTGTAATGCTTGAAAAAACATTCCATCTAAATATGTAGGTGGTACCTCCTCAAACTTCTGTGAGGTAGCATAAAAGAAACTCATAATACAGAGTCGACGAAAAAAGTAGCATAATTTAACTAAGGAACTCAGAACGCACAAGGAAACGTAATGGGATACATTACGCTTTTCTGGGACCACCGTGAAGAGTACAGTAGTGAGGGACCACAACGTTGATGAAGTATTTTGGTTTTTTACCCCCAACCATTCGTTCAAAGCAATCTAGTAACCTTGCTGAATCGAACCTATTAGCTGACGTTTGCATTCAGTTTAGCAAAGACCACCTATTCTTCCGTTCTCTATATTCACGAGATCTGCAGGTGTTATTTGTTTATTCAGTTCAATCAGCAGGACTCCTTCTTTTTTGAAATTAACATTTCGGTTCAGATGGGTCGTGTGGGAACACGAAGGCATACCATCACCTGTTCAATATTTTTGTGACTCATGTTACAAGGATTTCAACTTCGACACTTATGGGAAGAAGATTTTCTCGTTCAAATCTGCTCCACTGTACGATCGCCACAATCGAAAAGTGAGTTCTTCCACGTAGAGTAAAGGGCAATTCGTGGGCATACTATTACCAATATTCACATTCAGTGAGGCACAGACGAGAGACAAAACAGGTCATTGATCGTACAATGTCCTGAACAGATAGAGCAGAAGTGGAATGGAACTCAACTGTAACATGTGCTAGATTTCGTGGTTGAGTCATCCGCTTTTTTAACTTCCTGTATATTTCTCTGACTTCTTGTTCTCACCTTCTACCAGATACGACATGGCTAAAAGTACGAGAACACCCAAAGTGTTTGCAAAGCAGCTGCGAACATGAAAACAGTCTCGAACCGAGCAGTTTCTCCAAAATCTTCACTTTCCCCTATCACTCGATGTCCTGGATCCATAAGCGGGAGAAAATCAGCATTTCAATCAGCGATTTCAGAGTAAAGGAGGACTTCAGTGTACTTTATGCGACCAAAATAGGGGCATCCTTTCCATTGGTGGGCAGTCATACCTCATCTCACCGCTGGTGAGGTCATCACGAAGAGAGTTTTTACACCCCATAGGGTTATCGTTTGGCAGAAATTAGGAAACCAGGTTGTGTTCAAAGACTTTTACAGTCAGCCATAGAGTATCCCATGAAATCAGAAAATGGGGAATTTGAGCGGAGCTCGCACATGACCAGTTTGTGGGTGTAAATATGAATATGAATGATGGGGCTCTTTGTGGCTGATTGCAAATATATCTGAATACAGCCTAATCTTTGCAACTAGTTTGGGTGACGCTCACTACTGCGCGCATGATCAAACCTATGATATTGATTCACTGACAGGATTTTCGTGCAGACCACTAGCACGTGACCTAATCCCATGTTTCAAAACGGCGACCCATTTCATCATATTTCACCGCTGATAAGCATTTGCCAATGTCTAGTGCTTATCACATTTGTAAAAACACCCAACATTTGTTGGAACAGCTTAGCGCTTGAAAGAGTTTCGATAATCGGGATCTTATGGTTAGTGAGAGCTATTCATATCCTAGCGCTTCCGTTGAGCAGCTTTCACGTATCCGTTTGCTGGTGGTTCTTATCATTCCTCACTGGAAAACATCTTTAGGCTTTTACTTTTAGGTGAAACTCAAGGGTTTAGCGGTCGATTCAATTTCGACTATCGCTGAATAATAGAAACATTTGGCTCACTAAGTATTTGCCCACAGATTTGGGTGCTTGCTCTCTGACCCACCGTTCCCATCCTGCCTCCACTTTCACCGCTTGCAGTCAACGTCCTACCGCCGCTGCGGCGTACTTGAATTTAGTCCCTTTCTAGGGCTTCATGATATGTTATCAACTGTTATCAATCCCTGCTACCTACCAACAATGTTCCCATCCTGTCCCCGCCTCCATCTTACTTTTTGAAGCCAACATTTTACAGTTTCTGTGAAGCGAGTCATGAAATTGGTGGCTTCCACTTCTAAGAACCTATATGGTATCTTACCAGCCATTGTCACGTCCTGCCACCCACCAATAATGTTCCCAGCCTGCCCCCTGTCCTTGGAACCAACGTTCTGCCGCTGCTATGCCCGCGCTACGAAGTTGGTGACCCTTCCCTTCTAAGGCCCCTTATGGTATCTTATCAGCTCTTATCACTTCCTCTCACCCACCAATAATGTTCATGCCCGACCCCCGCTATCACTAATCAGTTTGAGCGCTCTATCTCTGTTTTGAAGGAAGGTATGAATTTCCGGTCAAACACACATACAGACACACATACACACGCCCACATCAACAGACAAACTTAGCGGACTATATATAGTGGGACTCTTGCCGAATGAAAACGACCCCACAGGGTGTAAAGACTCTCTATGTGATGACCTCACAGTGGTGACATGAGACACGGCTGCCCATCAGTCGGAAGGAGTCCCCTATCTCGGTCACATAAAGTACACTGAAGTTCTCCTTCCTATGAGGAATGCTAAGAGAAATCCCGATTTTCTCCCGTTGATGGATCCGCGGATCAAGCGATGCGAGGAAGTTGAGATTTTTGAGAAACGGCTCTCTTCGAGGCTGTTTCAGGTTCGCAGCTGCTTTGCGAACACTTTAGGTGTTCTCGTATTTCTAGCCATGAGGCATTTTATCAAAAAGGAAAACAAGAAGTAAAAAAAAGTTGAAAAGCGGATGTATCAATCATGAAATCAAACCACTGGCAGTAGATATCTTGCTAGCAGTCACGTAGCTCCCCTCCTTTCTGCAACAGAGTACAGCGAAATAGTTCCCATTATACCAACGCGCAAAAAATCAAAAACCTAAAAAACTTAGAATGCTTTTTGTGGAAAATGTTGAGAGATATGATGCATCGGTTTTGCTTTGAAAACAGCTCCCGCGATAAAAGTGTCAAGGATAGTTGCTGACCACTTATGAAACAACCAGTCGGATCACCCGGCTGTCGCCGGGTGCTCCTTCTTCTTTATCACGGATCGGCTTCGCCGGGCCGGCTTGGCTTCGCCAGGCACTCTTTCTTTAGGCGAGGTAGAGTGTGCAAAATACGCCAAACCGTCGCAGTTCATTTTCCAGCAAAATGTAGAAAAATAGTTGAAAATAGCTTCCAGCAATGGGTTAAAGTTGGATCAGCGAGTCGAAGTTGACTTGAACCGGCGCTATGATATTCGTGTCAAAGAGTTAGACGCACACGCACGGACATAGCCGATTATATATGGTAGGATTGTAACCGTTGTCCCAATGTAGCGCTGAAATCTACCCTTTCGCTGAAATCTATCCTTTGGTCCACTCTTTTCTCGGAGTTAGTACCAAAAATCTCCATACCTGCACACGAAAATCAGCAACCTGTCGAGCAGCTTTGAAGCATCCTACGCTTGATGCGTTCTCCACTACTGGCAGGTTTCTATTTCTGGAATGCACTCCGGCATTCGGGCAGTTTAACGCTTCGAATGGTCCTCTCTCAGAGTGTTGATGAAAGATAGTCATAGACATTAGTAAAGCCGGAGTTGCTACAGTTCATGCCAACTGAGTAAACACAACCGCCATGCTTCTGAACTCCAGTCGCTTTAAGCCGCCGTACATGATGTCAATAACGATAAAGCCCAGGAGTGAGTTGTGTTGCGAACTACTGGGAACCTGATACCTGGATCATATCAATCGCATAGTGGATGTAAGCGGTGTTGCGGATTTCCGCATAATGAGTTTTCGTTCTTAATGAGTCACTTCGTCTCACCGTCAGTGGGTGTCCGCCCCTCCCCCTAATACCACTTCTTGGAGCCAAGGTCCCACAGACGCTGCAACCTGCCCTACGAATTTGGTGACCCTCCGCGTCTAAGGTCCCCTTATCAAATCTTATCAGGTGTTAATCAGCTTCTGTCACACCCAATCATGTCCACCCCCTTTCCCTACACCACTTCTCGAATCAATGTCCACGGACACCCTCGTCTAGGGTCCCTTATTGAATCTTATCAGATGTTATCAGCTCTGTCAGCCCCTATCTACGGCATATCACTGCTTGAAAACGATCCCGCAGCTGCTGCAACTTGCCACGAAATTCGGTCAGCCTCCCCTTCTAAGCGCCCCTTAACGAGTCTTATCAGGTTGTTGTCACCTCCTATTACCCACCAAAAGTGTTTCAGTTCTCTGCCGTGTATATTACCTCTTGAAATCAAGCGTCCCACGGTCGCTGCAAACACTGCGCTACTAATTTGGTGATCCTCGCGTCTAAGGCCCCTTATCAAATCATATCAGGTGTTACCACCTCCTGTAACCCACCAAAAGTGTGCCGTCCTGCCGTGTATATCACTTCTTTGAAATCACGGTTCCGCAGCAGGGCATGCAACTTGACGCTACGATTTCGCTCACCTTCCCTTTTAAGGCCCTTATCAAGTCTTATCAAAGTGTTATCGCTCCTGTCCACCCACCAAGAAAGTGTTCCTGTCCCAACCTCTACATATATAATATCTTGGAAACAACTTCCTAACGCTACTGGACGGGCGCTCTGATCTTGTGACACACACAAACACACACACACACGCACTTACAGACATACTTAGCGGACAGTCGGGTCGTCATTTTGAAGCATAGAAGACGATTCTTCCCCTTTTTGATTACTCTGTCTATCTCTATCTTTGGTTCGGCTCACTTGTATAGATATGAGAAAACTGAACAACACTCAAACATGTCACCAAAACCAAAAAGGAAGTGGCAGCGCTTTTTCAAAACTGCTAGCGCCTAAAGAGCTAGCTAAACCAATGGTCGAATATCGAAGAAATTTATTCTAATTTGTTTTAGTTTGCTCAGTGCACAAGCTCAACTGACGACTTGCAGCTGGAGGAAGACGACTAAGAGTGATCGTTTTAAATAGGCGAAGGAGCTTTCTTTTTTACAGTCATTTGAATACAAACAACGAGAAGGCATTATATGTACTACGCTACCAGATTGAAAAAGAAGCGATGGTTCCGATCAAATGAAGGCTTCTTTCAGTTTTTGCTGGAACAGTACTCAGCCACCACTGTTCTTTGAATACTTCCCTTTCTGCTCCTTTTTATAGCATTTTAAATCTTGTAATTGCTAGTGGTTGGGCAGGTTTGTCACTGGCGCTTGCTCTTGAAGTCCCGAAGTTTTTTTCGGCTTTTTGGGCCCAAACACGGAAAAAAACAGAATGTTGGACTCCTACAAAAAGATAAAGGGTAAAGTCTTCCCCCTCAATCAATCCCTTTGTGGGGTGCGGCACGCATTCTACTTCCATTCAGAATCGCAGTGGCTTATTTAATGCGATGTGGACTATACAATGACTTGCGGGGGCCCACCGATGTGCCAGTGTTATTATTCTCCCCGACGGATCTGGTCCCAATTTACCTTCCCAGGAGGGTAGAAGGCTTGGTTGGCCTGTGCGGGTGTCTACCTGGGATTGGAAACCAGGACCGCGGAAGCGGTAAGAGCGCCACTTGTCACTACACCACCTCCTCCTCGTTGGACTCCTCTATGTAACAGATATTCCCCACTGGTTGACAGTCATGCGTTCTTCATGGTACTCTGCGTAGTTCGATTTCCGTAGTTTGCGTGGTCAACTTCCGAGTACTGGTGATGCTCAAGTTGTGCTTCGGATCGTCATCGTGATATAGTAATATAAAAGGATGCCGGGCATTCGGGTATGCCTGAGAATATTCTAAACATTCAGGAGTTCGCCCCGATGGGGTATATAAACCATTTTACTTTCATTAAGATTTAATCATAGCTGAAATTACCAATGACGATATTCGAGCAATATTTTTCTACGAGTGGCGCTATAAGACTAATGCAGCCGCTGTAAACCGAAAGGTCGCTGTGAACCGAAAGGTCAACGACGCATTCGGTGAAGGAACGTACGTAGGATCATCCGCCAACTGGTTGTGTAGAGGTGGGAGAGTTCTGCTTCAGAGAAGGAGAGCCGAGGCTCGTGGGCCTGGCGAATTTCGTACGATAGCGTGTTCGAATACATGCTACAAAGTTCTGACTGCCATGGTGGTGCAACATATGTTCCAAAGGGTGGTGATCAGCTACCTCCGGCATTGGTGCCTTTTTGCGCGAAGGGGTCTGGGGCTGCACCCATGCGCACATACTGAATCACACTACCTGTGAAGACGTCTTACGGCGCGAAAACGTGCTACACTTTTTATGGGTAGATAGTACCAGAGCTTATGATTCCGTGTCTCATGGCCCTAACAAGTGGATCTTGGCGAGAGCCAGAGTGGCTTCCCCTACAGTTAGGCTGCTCTTGGTCAATGTGTCCAAACAAAGCGTCATATATTGCGGAGATCGAAATGGCAAAATGACCAAGGGTGAACCGCTAGAGGTCAGAAAATGGGTGATGTAGGGTGATACCCTTAGTCCTCTCCTCTTTTGTACGGCAGCAGCTCTTTGTCGCCGTGCTTGCGTAACAACGTTAGCCCGTATCAAACTATCACTGGAGCTCTAACATTGCCTAACCTCAATAGATCAACCATCTTCTCTATAGGGATGATCTGAAGGTTTACTCGCTCCGTAGGGATGAATATAGAGTGAGAGGGAGAGTCAGGACTCGGATGTATCCCAGCACGCGTGCGGTGTATCAACTGAATCACCCCCAGTCACTGATCACAAGAACAGAATGGAGGAGATACCTGTCCTAGGTTCAAGTTCGCTCTCTACAGATACAAAGTAGAATAGAACGCTCTTGTATTATCACTCTACAATATAAAGCGCTTCGTCTGTTTGTTTGTAAGTTTGTTTGTCTGTCCGGAAATTCGGTTCGACCTGAAGAGCGAGAGGTCGGGTCAAGGTGGGGATGGTTAGGGCATGGGACAAGAAATAAAAAGCACACTTGACCCATGAAAAGCTCCGCCCACAGTGAGCGGGGCACTCGCCGAAAGTTTGGAGTCCGCAGAAAAATGTTCATAATTCGCTTTCTGTTATTTCATGCTTATAAGTATGTGAATATTAGAGTAATAATGTGTATGTTATTAGGGTCGCCTAAGGTATCTTAACTGGTTTGGCAAGAGTAACTGCATCATCCAAAATGCCGCGTAATTTCAATGGTGAGCGGTGCTCCTCGCAAAATTCAGTAACCTGGTTAGCAAGAGTGTTTGGAAGTCGCAAAAAAACTCAGTGTAGAATGTAAATATCTGGCGAATATAGGGCACGCTCAAAGTGTGTTGGGACCCGCCTACAGTGAGGGGAGCTTGTCTTAAGTTGGAGGGTATTCATTTTAAAAGTTTGTAGCTCGGTTCCAGAACACTCCAGACACCGGTAAAAAAGTGGATTAAGGTCAGCAGAGGGTCGCCGGTGAAGATTGTGGGGCACAAAAATTGTGGGCGGGGTCAGACAAAAGATCTGCAAAACGGTCCCAGAGCCCTCCGAACAAAGTGGAGTACAGAATAAAAAGCGGATATCAGTCGAGTCTAGAAATATGTGAAAGGAGATACGCGCGGCCAAGCCGCGCCCCCTCGGCGCAGCCGGGCCGTATCAGAAAGAGGCGCCGTTCCCCAAAATCTTAATGGATGTAACCAAGTGTTGATCCCAAAACTAAAATATGCCATCTAGTGCATTATTTACGGAACAGGTAAATTTTGCAGAATGAGAAAGCAAGCAAGAGCGTTTGGTTCTTGAGCTGTCAGCAGAATCGCATCTGCGTTTTGCCGTAGCTACGTACCAAGGCTCTACGTCAAAGAGACTAGGGACTGAAGTCCGCGGAGGAAGAGATGGAACATGGTCGCTTACACATGGTGTTATCTGGCCTCGCAACCAGTGCTCTACATCCCCTGTCATATTTGTGAAAGCCTATGAAGCAACAAACGGTTGCTCACTTGCGAATTCAAAGCCGTAATGGTCAGAATTAGGTTGGAAAACGGAGTGACTCGGATTGCTCAAGCTCCCATTCGAGTGGATCGAACATTCGCAAATGGCCACTGCAGCCGCAAGAGCAATATCTACTCAGTGCATGATTGATGGACGCGAATGCATGCATCAATATAAGCGAAGACTGGTAGCGAGCAAGATCAGTAACAACGAGAGGAACGAGCAACCGTCTCTCACAGTGGTCGTTATTGAGGTCGCAGGTCGGATGGGTGTTCTCTGAAGTCTTACGAATGTTTGAGCGGAACAATATGCGTCTATTGTGAAAAAGCTAGCGCACTGGGGAAGTCAATCCGGGCGGAGAGCAGGCAGACGTGCGAATGCGTTGCAATGCTAAGGAAACGGCAGAACACAGTGTTAGTGACTACTGGCGAATTATCATTGCCGACCGATTTGATGAAGTACTCATGGTAGTTTACCACTCGTTAGAAGAAGTAAGGTCCGGGTTCCAGAGTGACCAAAGCCCACGTTCCACATTTAGTGGAAGGAGATCAGGTAGTATTGCACTGGAACGAGGGAGACCTCCTGACACGACAGGCCTGACATACTAGTCAAGGATTCGGAAGAAAGGTATTTCGAGATCCTCTTAGAAAACGTGAATTCAGCGGTGAAGGCTTGAAGTTGATAGTTGTTAACAACCCATTCTGAAGTGTTTCACTGCTTCCCACCATTTTTTTGACGATCAGCACAGAATGTTTCCAAGGTAGCTTTTCAGAAGAAGTTCTAGGCTATTTAGAGCCTTGGAATCTTATTTGAAAATGCAGGAGAAGGTATAATTGTATCGCGCGATGTACTGAATCCAGGAATCTAAAAAACGCTCCTTTTTCATATTATTCTTGGGTATCGCGATTTATTGAAAATAAAAGGACGCAATGAACAGGACTGGCTTGCTCTAACCAGCTATTAACTTTTTGGAAGTGAGATTTTTTCGAATTGAGAACGGTATCGCGCAATAACATCCAGTGGAATTGCTCTATTTTCAGAAAAACTGGCACCGTAATGCTCTGCATCAACCCCAGTCAGTTTGTGTTTTGAAATCATTTCCAATTCAATACACTAACTTATTTCATCTCTGATTGATCCGACTCCCAACGACTGTCCCCTGGTCACAATTATAGCGAGACTCACTCGCCACTGAGTGCTCCCCAGGTACTTCCATGAAAGGTGGAGTTCAAAGTAAGATTTCTCAACACCACCTCGTAGAACATGGAGAAACAATCTGACAAGGGACCTAGAATTTGAGCGTCGATTGATTCACAGCTTACGTCATACAGTTGTCATCCTTGCACCTGATTAGGGCGGTCGAAGGACCGCAGACGCGAGTTCACCAGCGACCGCGTCACGAGTAGCAAACCATCGGCGGCGCGAGACAGCCACCCTGCGTCCTTTGACTCCGTGCGCGCTCGAAACGCTCCGCATAGTACTCTGCCGCCTGCCCCTTGACAGCTGGCGCGGCGACCAGCTGTTTTTCGGCTTGATGAAGCCGTTTTCTCCCCAAAAACCCCCCTTTTCGGCCGCTTTTCGAAGAATTGAGTAGCTTTTTTTCTTTATTTGATAGATTAGAATTACCTTTCTCTGTTGTGGTTGATTGATGAGATTTTCATGGTTCTTATTGCTTTTTTTGCTATTGTTTTCGCATTTTCAGGTTTTGTGTGCTTCTTTTTCATTTCTTCCCCTTCTGCCTGGCTTTTTTCATTACTGTGTCACTGATGTGTTCCTGTCTGTGCAGAGAACACTCCCTGACACGGTTTTCACTAGAGCCGTTTTTACACCCGTGTTCCCGAAGCTGCTCGTAAATTGTGCCGGTTAGTGAGTATTTCGATTTATTTTTTTCTTTTTTTATGACACATTCTCCATTATTATGCCAAGTTGTGTTCTGTTTTACGCAAAGAGCACGCTCTAGCATAGTTTTCGAGCTTGTGTTCTTTTTTTCAAGATTTGTGCTAGTACCCGTTATTTAGGCCGGTCATTTT